TGACATAAAATGGCTCGAGGCCCCCAGGCCCCACACATCCCTCGCTCAAAACCTTAGAGGAAGCCAAGGGCCATAAATCCCCACTGCCGACCTGCAGCAGGAAACACCCTCGAGACTGTCTTCTGTGTAGGAGCCCCTGCCGCCTTTTGTCCTAAGGCGTTTGTCTATACCAAGCCTGTTAGTGTAAGCGCAGTGGTACGGTGATTGCCCACGTGAGGGTCAGCACTGCCTGCGCTGCGGGCTGGGCGCGCGCAGGGCACGGGCAGGCGGCCGCCGTCGTGGCTGGGTGCCCCGCGCAGCCCGGTCTGCGGGAAAGCCCCTGCTGAGTGCGGCCAACAGCAGCCGCCCTGTCTGCAGCCTCGGACCTGGTGTCGGGCTCTGCTGCGCCTGTCTTGTGCCTCCCGCCGCCCCTCGTTCCGTCCAGCCAAGATTCCCTTCTGTGTCCGGTAGGTACCTTGCGCTCCTGAGGTCGGCAGGAGCGGCGTGAAGTTGGGTTAAGAAGTTAAGGCCACAGCGCATTAGGGAAACTGAGACTGCAGTCTTTAAATTTAGAAGCTTGATCTTCTTTCACTTTCACCGGGACGGAAGCTGCAGAAAAACTAGGCCAAACTTGTGAGAGGTGCCCGTGCTGAGCAGCCCGCGTCGCGTTTCCTTTGCCCTTTAGTGTGTGGGTAGGGCTCAGGTGAAGCAGCGTGTTATGCTCTTCTCCTGAACACCCAAACAAATAAACACTGAAAACCTTAGAAAAAGAACACYTTCGTGTGTGCTGCAGGCTTTGGATTATGTGTCTTGTAGGTATGCAAGGTTGTGGAGAAGTTGAGATTATCAAAATATAGATCGATTTAGGTACAACATGAAAAGCTTTGCTGTTGTACATGCAAATACAAATACTAGATCTTAATACTACCCAGTAGGAGTACAGTGCTTTTAAAAGTACTGAAAACAGTAAAGGGGTAGGCCTAAATACTTCTGTGTCCTCCATTAATTGCCCAATGTGATATATCTTGTATATTCTTAATATATGGAAGGAAGCGTATCAGGAATTTTCCTATTGTTGTAGCCATGAACCTGAACTATGATCTTTGTGGTACATTTGTGATACTTAAGGATGAGTTTCTTTATGATTTGTGTTCCTTATTTTGAAATTCCTTCTCCCAGGACTGAATCTGAAGAGAAGAAGAATATGCTAACTGTATAATTTCTACTATATAAATTATATATAAATATATGTGTGTGTGTGTATATATATTTCTTGTTTGCATCATATATCTTCATAGTCTGACTGGCACTTACTTTGTATACTGAATTCAGCTTATTTATTTATCATTTATCAGGGAGTATTCCCTTGAAATRTATGTTAGCCGTTTATTGAATAAGAATTGCCTTGGTCGTTTTTACATTATTTGTTTTCATATRAATTTTTATATGAACAAAGTTCTGTTCAAACCCCGCCATTTTGTTAATGCTAAACATACTGACGAAAGATTTCGTGTGCGCTGGCCAGACCAAGATGGGAAGTAATAGCGCAGTGACRGCCGCGTCAAAGTTCCTTTGAAAAGTGACTGAACATTGTATGGAGATCATAAGATCAACAGCAGTTTGCTCKGCTTGTATAATGTACAAACTATTTGCTCAGTTGGAAAATGACCTAAATTCTAATACCAGCTGACACACACTTCATGTGTGACTTTAGCCAACTGTCTTAATCACTACATGCCTCTGTTTCCTCGGTTATTTTAAAAAAATAGTAATATGCATTCAGAAATATCTTAGCATTTATGAAACACTGCATTGCTTGGCCATGATACTATATTAAGTCCTAGGTAGTAGTGCAAAACAGTTCCTCTTATCACTGCACTTGTGAGTGACATGTGACATACGAATGACTGAGGATGCTTTTGTGAAACGGAATTTGGGTCACAAAAGGTCAAAATTGATGCACCTTGTAGAGCATGATACACCAATGCCCARCATTTTGGCTGTGAATTTGCCCCAAAATTTACCTGAAGCCTTTGGCACAACCATCAGTATAACATTATGTCACAGACGTAATAACTATCGCCCTAGAGAATTCATGCCATGGCAGGTAAGTAGATCAAGGGTTAGCGAGGTGCAGGACCTTCAGAGAGCTGTTACAAGGAGGCCCATGTGAGACCTTTACACTATTAGAAGACACTGCAGGTCTTCTCAGAAGGTTTCGATTCTGTTTGAAGGCTGTCTTTAGCTAGACTTCAGCAAAATCATCTCAGGGCAGAAAAATAAATCTCTCCATTCATAGCTGGAAGTAACTTCTGTAATTCTTTACATCACGTTGAGGCTGGTATTCTCTATACAGTTTTGACTAGTGGCACAAGGAATGGCAGGTAGCGCAGGTATCGATGCCCTTCCAGTATGATAGAAAGGACTGTAAACTATAGATAGAAATACTTGGCTCTTTGTCAGAATGGGGTGAATAAACCAAATCTCTGGCAACATATCAAACTAAAGCACATCTATTATTAAAATAAAACAAGAGGTCTCAAATTCCTCTTTACATTTAAAATTATGGAAGCTATAAACATGTAAAATTTATGTTTTCATTAGCCTTACTGCCCAGCTCTTACACAGWTGCCAAGTTGATGTTTCTAAAAATACCAAGCTATTGCAGAGTAAATAGATCAGTGTGACATAAACACCCTTAACACCTCCACGGATTTAACAGAGTCACTTATGCCAAAGGCCAGTGTTGCTCCCAGCCGAATAAAGCAGCAATTTGCTTTAGCACTTTTTTTCTCTCACACCTACACAGTAACATGGTAGAAGACACTGAAGGTTCCTACTCCTCCAGAGACAATATGAGTAATTCCTTACACATTTCTTTCTCTTGATAAATGTTAAGAAGAGGTTAGTTAGTAAATGAGAGTTGTCTCTTTCCCCACAGTGACTGTACTTCATTTCAAAGCCAGGAGCTCAGATATTACCAGGGACATAAAGTTTATAGATTTTAGTTATTTAATGTTCTTAAGCATATTGCTTAAAAGGCTGCCCTCTAGAAAACATTTATATTTTTTCCCAAATAGAGTTCTGTTGGCGGGTTGCTGAGGTCCCGCCGCGGCCTCAGGCGCTTCCCTCCCCGCGCAGGCTCCGTGTGGGCGCCCGCCCGCTGCGGGAGGCGGTGCCGGTTCTGCGGCCCTGGCAGCCGCCGGGCCCGGTGACTCGGCGCGCGCCGCCTTGCGCAACGCGCCGCGCGAGCGCCCTGCCAGAGGGCGGGGCCTCCCTGCTGGCTCGCGCGCGGCCGTTGGCGGCCGTTGGGCGCGGGGGCGCGGGCAGCGCGTTGCTGAGGGTGACGTGGAGGGGGCGGGAGGCACGCGGTGCTCTTGAGGGCGCGCGGCTGAGTCACGGCCGGAGCGCGGATCGGCCTCCCTGCGGTTCCTGCTGCCGGGAGCGTCCCTGCGCTCGGCCGCGAGCGGGGCGCCTGGCAGCAGGCGCAGAGGACACGCGTCTCAGAACGCTGCATTTACCCCAGTATTACCTCTTCTCATTTCTGAAGTGATTGTTGAGAAATAGGACAAGTCATAAGATTTACAGTGCTCTTTCCGAAGGAAACACACCTATATGGGTTTCTTTTTTCCAAGTATATTTATACTTTTTTTTTTGGTGTTCCAGGCCGGGCACCTGAAAAAGTGAATTAACTTTATATTGTTCAACTCCTTTTGCCTCTTTTCCCTTACACACCATCACGTTGCTGTGCACATGACACCACTTATTATCTATTTCAGGTTACCTGTGCCCTATTCACTAGTAACGTACGCAATAGCGATAAATCCAAACCCAAGACAAGTGAGGAAAGATCAGCACTTCAGACCACAGTTTTTCAACCATTCCTAGTACTGCTGACTTAAAACATCCTGAATCAGAAAGATAAGCAAGAATTGAGATTGGTTCCTTCTAATTTTCTTCCCTTGTGAGGGGAAAACTTATATATGTATCCTATCAAGCGTTGGGTGTCTGGCTCTCAAAGGTCGGATGAAGCATTAATAAATAAATTTCAAAAATCAGTGCTGATGAGAAGACTTGCAATAAAAAGTATCTTATCATCAAATGATTATTTTATATCCTAGGGTTAACTATCTCAGCTACTTAACAGTTTTATTGGGAATATAGACTTAAAAGCTTGCTAAAGCCTTCTGCTGTCCTTGAAAAGAATTTATGCCCTGTTATCAGTTCATCACTGTGCTGAATGTCTTGACATGGAAAAAAAAATAAACAGTCTCAAACAGTCTCAAACATCTAAAAGCTGAATTACTGGGTCAGTTGCCAATGATTAAGAGCTTCATTCTCCGTTCAGATTGGAAAAATCAACAGACTATCATGGCACAGCATGGCAAAGCTCACTGCTGGCACTGTCCTGTAGCATTTGAGAAAAAATATTGGGATTTTTTTTGTGTGTGTGTGTGTTATATTAATTTACTGATAAAACAGGAAAATTTGCTAGTCCCACTGATTGCTGGTTAGGAAAAAAATGAGAAAATACAATAGGTCAGTAATAGTTTATCTTTCGGAAAGATAATCTGTGCACTCCTGAAATTCAAGTAAACCTCGTATAATTTAATTTATAGAAAAGGTGCCATTCATATGACTTAAATATTTCAGAAATGAGAAAATGACTTTATTTAGAATCATAATAGAAAGTTTCTACAGATACTTGTGTTTATATTCTTGCAAGAAAGGGGTACATATTTCCTACAGAATGTATTATAACTAATAAACTGTGTACCTGATTTTCTCTTGATTAATCTTTTTTAATAAATATGGATCAAATGGAGCATGCACAGCAATCTGAACAGCATTGTAACCTTTAGAGCTAATCACAGCTAATCAACTCTATTAAACAACATTGGCTAAAAATGAAAGAAAATATATATATAATTTATGAAGCACTTTTCATTTCTACAGGATTCAGTTTTATTCTTTATCTATTAGTGCAGCAAATAATGTTGGGAGGAGGAGTCCTCCTAGCTATTTTCTTCAGCTTGGATTTCTTTTTTCTACTCTAATTTTTCTCAACTACCTTAAGAGAAAGATGTTTTTAAAAAGTTAAATAACACCAAACTGAACAAAGCCCTGAAATTCATTCTGTTGAGTGACAAAATGGAATATATAGAAAATAATGAAAAAAAACCCAAAACATTCAGATAAAATAAATACATTCCAGTTTAAAAAAAAAATAGAAAAGTAGATTTTGAATTAGAAACTTATCTGCCTCAACTGTACTTATTTTAAGCCTGAACTGAATTAAACAGCACATGTGACAGAACAAAAGAAATGGTTGTACTGCGATACGGCACAAGAAGTTACCCCTGCTGACTACATTTCAACGTGTGACCGAAGCCAATTAAAGTAAATGTTTTTGCTTTGACAGCAGAGAGCTTTTTAACAGCGCTGCACGTTTGTGGGACAACTAATTTTCCCTCATTGACCACTTAATGTGTGTTATCCATATCAAGGTGTTTGCATAAGCGATAAGAGTTACCGCGTAACACAGCTCAACTATAATGGAGAGGATCAGTGCACTTACCTGTTGATGCATAAGGACCCTGTTTGGGGAAGTTTC